TTAAGAAAAATATATAAACTAAAAATTAATTTTATTTAACATACGTTCAAGAGTTTACTTAGGGCTATAAAATGAGCCATAATAGATATACATAGTGCATCTAGTATAAAAGTTATCCCAATTTTAAAAATTCATTTTTTTCAAAAAATGACCAAGCTGAGCCACTTTGAAGCCCTATATCTCCGGTTCTAATAGAGTTAAGAGTCTAATATTTTGGATTCGTCACTTACAATACTTTAGTGACTTAAATACCAAATTTTAACAAAATCTGAGATGGTCGGGTTGTAAAGTGATTGATTTGACATGGAATGACCAACTAATAAATATCATAATTCACAAATCATATATTTTTTATTCCAAATTTTCCATAATATATTTGGCCTTTTCTCTAAAAATTTATAGAAATCTTGAAAGAATGAATACGGATAATCTATTCCTCTCATTTGATTATTATTCTGATTCATCCATCGTCAAATGAAGTTAAAATTTATTATTTATCCATAAGGAGAAAATTCTGATTACCCGTCATTTTTGACGGGCTATCAGCTAGTTATAAATAATCGACTATTTATTCATAAGCAATTAAATTTATATTATTAAAAAGAGAAATCTTATTATATCCTTAACTCTAATGATGTTCCTTGAATTTACATTTCTCATTATTCGACTAATCTTAAAAAAATAAAATGAGCTCTTGAAATGAAACAATATATCTCTTGCAAAGCATTATTAAAATATTATTCTAAAACATAGATATACCATTAATGTCTTTATATTATAAATTATTTAAAATTCATATGAAAATTTTTACTTTAGTTTAAAAACATTGTGGGGCATTGAAATCAAAATCTCACACCCATCCGTGGGAGTTTGATGGTGTGGGATTTCGAAATCTCATAGATCACTTTCACACGTTACACCGGAGTCCAGACCCGAGGTTTAAACTGGGGGTTTAGACACGGGATTCAGGTAAATATTCCAAATAATTCAAATAAATATTATTTACTAAAAGTAAAGAAGCAGCAAAACGCAATGGTGTCTTCTGGGGTTAGATAGTAAAACCCTGCAAGCAACTCAGCTTCGGGTTAAAAAAATTTAATCGGGTCCACCTAGTTAAAAATACCAAAAAAATAGGATTAAAATGAGTTATTATTGTTATATATGTATTTTTTTTAGTCATAAAAATTTATATTATTTTAGTCAGCGTTATAAAAATTTTTATTATTTTAGTCAGTGTTATAAAAGTTTATAATATTATTTTAGTCATCGTCATAAAAAATTATAATATCATTTTATTGAGTCATCGGTTCTCTTCCGATTTTACATTTCAGCTCTTCAAAAGCATCCTCCTGTTCATCTTGCCACACGAATTTTTCTCCCTTCTTTAATAAATTATATAAAGGTGCTGCTATCTGTGCAAAACCCTCTACAAATCGATGATAATAATAATAATTTTTAAAAACTTCCGGTAATTTAATTTAAAACTAATAACAATCCATATAATCGAGGCAATTACTAGCCTTTTGCTTAATTTCATTAATTATGATTTCACAGCCTTCTATTCACTTACAATACGATATATCGAAGAGGGAATCCGATCTATTCCTTTGATATTACAGTAGATTATTATATAATATAGATATATTTTTTCATTATATTATGTGTAATAAAAACTAAAAAATAATTTGATCTTTTATATAAATAAAATAAATATATATTTTAAATAAAGATTTCACAAGTCATTTTCGAAACTATAATATAAGAAAGGTAATTTCACTATAATTTTAAAAATAAAATAAATTGAATATAATCAGAGTTGTAAACGCTCCCTTTTAAAAGTAGCTAGCTCCCGCTCCTACCTTCTCAAAAGGAGCTAGCTCCCGTTTCCGCTATTACATTATCATATTTTTTTATCGAAAAGTTTTATTTATATTAAATGATCTATCATAATATTTATAATCTTTTATTAGCCTTTAAAAGTAATAAATTTTTTAAATTAGAATCTAACAAACATCCACGCATCTCCCCTTAGACCTGTTTTGCAATACTAAATAAGCGCTCCATAGGAAAACTAGAGGGAAGCGGGGTATTGTATTTTATAAAGATATTTTTTAATTCAGGTATAAAAAAGGTGGTTGAACAAGTAATGAGAAAATTAAAATAAATATTTAAATATATTTAAAAAAGCATCATATGTAACAATCCAAGCTCAACTATAATGAATAGCCCAAAAATAATATAACCATTTTAAAAAAAATTATTCCAAAATAAAAAAAAATATAGTTATCATTTCGTAAAGAAAGATTTATTACTTTTAGATACTTTTATAGATTGGAGCTTTTGAAAATGAAATACTTTTACTTAAACACAAAAGGCATTTTGCTCTTAAAATTGTTTGATCATTTGGATCAACATCTATTAGAAGTTAAAAATATTTTTTGTATGATGGAAATGGAAATTCTATTTTTTCTTCTATGATCTCTAAATCCATATGTCGAAAACTATATTTTATTATATATCTATAAAATGAATATTAATATGACTTACAAGATTTTCCACAAAAAACCAATATAAAACTCGGCTCAACATTTAATAATGATATAATTTAAATAAAATAAAATTTCCTTTTTATTGGATTTTAATTAATAAATATTATTAATTTTTAAAAAATAATGAGCGGCGCTCCACCACTCCAGCCCTAAAAGGAGCTAGCTCCCGCTCCTCATTTTTAAAAAGGAGGAGAGATCTGCGATGGGCAAGTTTTGATGCACCTGCCTGCTCATTTACAGTGTTGTGATGATTTAATGTAACATATTGACGATTTAATTTAAACACATGCATATATAATTATATTATTTCTTTTGTTGTACATTTGTAAAGATTATAATTATATATGCATGTGTTTAAATTAAATCGTCAATATGTTACATTAAATCATCACAACACTGTATTTAAAAATTTTGTTTAACTTGCCTGTCCAATGTATAAAAATTATTATAATAGTTGATTGGCTCTTTATGTTATTTTAATGTTTTTACTTAAACCTATAAATTATGTAATAAAAAAATAACATCTAATAATATTTATCTATAATCATAATATATATAAAAGCTGTGTCACAGTCACAATTTATAATATATTTTAAAAATTCACGATTTTTTAAAAGCGTCTGTGGCCTAATCGGCAAGTGCCTCGCTCACAAATTTGAAGGTCATGGTGTTCGAATCCCAGTAAAGATTTTTTTTACTTAATCTGGCAAAATTAATTAAATAGAAGATAAAAGAATTAGTGTTACATATTCATATACGATTTAAAGTTTTTTGCTATAAAATTTAAACTATTAAATAGGTATTCTTATATTTTAAAATTTTTCATAACGTAATAGCCAATAGTATTTTTAAGCATCATACCATATCAAAAGCATCATACCATATCAAACACTCATTCATCAAAGCATCCATTAAAATAATATCTAACATTACCATCTCACACATCTTATACATCATAAACATATATCTATAATAATATATATATAAGCGGTGTGATAGTCACAGTGTCACAATTTATCATATATATTTTAAAAATCGTCAACTTTGAAAAGCTGGCCTAATAGGCAAGAGCGTCGCTTACGAATCTGATGGCTTTGGGTTCGAATCCTAGAAATCCATTTTTTTTGTTAATCTAACTTTGTATACTTTTTTTTAATTATATTAATTTCATTATTTTTTTTTAATTATTATTTATGTACTCAATAAAAAATTTATTTTGCCATATGAGGGTTTTGTATATTGTTATAATGAAAACAGATTCCGGATTTGGACTTAATAAGAATGAGTCTTTTAAAATTGGCTTCAAGAAATTGAAAACCAATTATTTTAGGAAGAGCATCACAGATTGTTCCATCATCAAGATGCCAAAGAATTATATCTAAATCAAATTTAGGTTTAAGATAATGGATGTCATAATGAATACCAAGTAAACGAGGACGTTTTCGCCCTGCTGGATCCTTTTGTCAAAATCTATGACATGTGGGCTGAATAAAGAAGTTTTAATGTTACAGTATGTCTCTAGGAATTTTTAATAAACAGGAAATTTGGGATAAAAACAATTTATGAAATGTTCATAAAATTTGCTATTAAAAACATTTTTAAAGTCTACTTTGATAATAGCCATGTTAGGAAGGGTTTTGGAATACAAATAGCATGTGAAGCTATACCTTCTCCCTTAACACTAAATATTTTTGCTAATAATCTTCTAAATATCCCATTGCAATGGGGTGGATACCACCACAGTGTTTGTGAGATAATCAGGTTTGCCCCCATGATTGATTCGAATCTATTATGGCAGGTCTTTTTTTAGTAGAGTATTTAGGAAGGTTTTAAAAGCATTTAAATGATTCTTTGAGAAGAATGTAGATTTTATACGAAGTTAGAGAGCAAAACCATGCGTCTGGATGTGGAAAATTTCTTAAAAGAATTGATAAATATGATAACTCACAAATCATATTTTTTTTATTCCATATTTTTCATAATATATTTGGCCTTTTCTCTAAAAATTTATAGAAATCTTGGAAGGATGAATACGAATAATCTATTCCTCTTATTTGACTATTATTCTGATTCATCCATCGTCAATGAAGGTAAAATTTATTATTTATCCATAAGGAGAAAATTCTGATTACCTGTCATTCTTAACGGGTTATGCTAGTATGTTAAAAAAAGGATAGTTTGATATATATCTTGAGTATTTCATTTAAAAAAGTTGTTTCTTTTTAAATTTTCACCAAGTATCTTGTATTTTAGATAAAAAAAATTGAAAAGCATTTGTATCTGAAATAATATTCCGAAAATTTGCCCAACCCTATATATATATGGTTTGAAATGTTGTGATTGATTTTTGAGGATTTATTTATTTTATAATTTTTTCCTATTGCTAAAACAGAGTTTGGAACCGGATCAGAACCCTTTTTTGTTCAGGTTCCAAACTCTGGTTTATAATACCTTTAATTTGGAATCTAAAATGATATCTTTAGAATATGAGCCTTCTTTTGTATAAATTTCTTTTATTAAACTATTTTGCAAGTCTCTAATTTGATCTTTTGATTTTTGGGATAAATGTTTTGCTGATTTAGACAAATTTTCTTTATACTCATGTGTGATTCTATTTAAAAATATTTTAATAAATTAAATTTCATTATTTACTTTGGAATGGTGATATATATATGATTCCCTTCCTTCTGAATTCCCAAATTCATTCCTGAGATCATTAAAGCCTTTTCAACTTTGGGCAATAACTTATAAAAGATTATTATACATTTGATATTGTTACATATGTATTATAGTATCGACTCCCTCCATTCAGAGTTAGCGCGAATTCGCGGCGTAGTATATAAAAATGCACAAAAATACAGAATATATTGTATACTTATGCGCGATATCGTGCTAACTATGAAGGCAGGGCAACGCGCTAATTATGAATGAGGGGTTAAACTAGTATAATTATTTTCTGAATTATCACGCAAAAATAGAGAACTTTTTATTAGAATAAGATACAAAATTTTTAAAAATTTTTAATAAAAATTTCTTTCACTATTTACATCACAATATATATTATTTTAATTTGCATCATCGAATTAATTTATATATTATTTTCAAAATATAATAAAATTTAGCAATCGGTCTATTCTAATTAAACCATTTTTATATATATTATTTTAATTTGCATCATCGAATTAATTTATATATTATTTTCAAAATAAAATAATAAAATTTAGCAATCGGTCTATTCTAATTAAACCATTTTAATATATATTATTTTAGTTTGCATCATCGAATTAATTTATAAATTATTTTCAAAATAAAATAATAAAATTTAGCAATCGGTCTATATTCTAATTAACCATTTTAATACAATTGGGTAATTCCATGATAAATCGACTAGTGATTCAAACAACCTTTCTAAAAATAGATGAAACTTGGTGTGAAGGTTAAATAGATTGTATATTTTATACAAATACAAATTAAATTACCCTACAAATATATCCCAAATTATGGGCCTTTGAAGTTCGATGAGAGCCTCTCAAAATGCTCAAAAAAAATTTGATCTAAAATAACAAATTGTATATCATTTTGCAGTCCTTAAAATTCTCCTTAAGAAAATGCAAAAATTATTTTCAGTATTACTGTTTCCGGGAAAACAAAAAAATTTTGAATAGTGCCCCATTTAAAACAACAAAAGTCATCTAATATGTTAATTCCAAATATATTTAAGTAAAAATCTTAGTGAAGAAAATAAGAATTTTAATTTTATATAATTTTTTACAATTTTAGGAATAAAAAAATCAATTATAAAGAGAGTTTAAAAGGATGAAACTCATAAAATAGATTTATTACCAATATATTTATTATATTATTTAGTTTTTATAATTCTAGGGGGAAAAAATCAAAATTTATAGAGGGCGCTGTCAATAAAAATAATTAAAAAAATAGTTTCTCATTATTGGGGTGTCAATAAAAATAATTTAAAAATAGTTTCTCATTATTGGGGTATAAAAATGTACTTTTAAAAAATTTATAGTGCATATAATAATTTTATAGAAATATTAATGGTTATTTATAATTAAGATTCATATATTTTTATTTATAAAATACATTATAATTATCAGAGACCTACAGGCCCGACCCGGGCGGGCCGTAAAATTTTTTTAAAAAATTTATACAACATGAATTATAATATATTCGTCAATTAGATATGGTTATAATGATTATATATAGTTATAAGTGATATAATGTTGGGTCAGGCGCGTAACCAATGGGGGGAAATTCCCCCCCCACCCCATCGCAAATTGACTGTTTTCATAAATATCATTTTAAGCTAATAAAAAATTTACCCCCCCCCTTCCCCCAATCAAAATTTTACAAATATTTGTATCAATTTCCCAACATAAAACTTATTTTTTATAAATAAATTTTATTAAAATTTACTTTCCTTGTGTGTGAGTACATTAACATTATTCAAAAATATTGATAAAATGGCAAAATTTTTAGGCAAAATTTTTAGACAAAGAGATTGAAATCAAACGGTAATTTATTTTATTATTATATATAATTATTTTATTAAATTCAAAATTATTAGTGAGTTAGAATTAATAAGTATTTTTAATAATATTTTATTTATTAATAAATATCTATAATTTTTTAAACATTTTTCATTTTTACTTCCATTTTGTAGAACAGAAGAAATAGAAATACAAAAGTTAAATAAGACTGAGCATGAAAAAAAGTAATGTGTCGTCAGAAGCGATATTATTATTGAATTCAATTGATTAATCAGAGTTTATCATTGCTGCTAGTTGCATCAATACATTATTTTCCTATAGCTCATTACTTTGTAGAAATTCACAAAAACCAAATTTAGATTTGGTTCAGGTTATTGATTTGGCTGAAAATATATAAGAACAGGTAGATACAATAAAAATGAATGTAGATGAATATTGTATAATATTTGTCTAGACGTTGAATCGAAGGCTAAATTTTATGATATAACACTAATTAAACCTCGTCTAGCACCTAGGCAATTATTGAGATGTAAAATAAATATTGGCTCAACTGAACAATATTATAAAATATCCATTTTCATCCCATTCTTAGATACTTTTTTATCGCAAATAAAAGTACAGTTTTTAGATAAAAAAAACAAGTCTTTAGCAATCTTCAAGTTTTATTACCCAACGATCCTTCTTCGTTTTCTAATGCCACTATTGGTAAAATTAAATATTTAGCAAAATTTTATTCCTATGATATTGATACTGAAATAAATTTAAACAGTAAATTCGAATTGTGGTATAAATATTTACTATGTTTAGCTATTTTACCTGAGCTTGCTATTGATGCGCTCAATCGGTGTAAAGAAACCTTGGCTCAATTTCCTAATATTTTGAAGTTGTTTTATATTCTTGCATGTTTGCCTATTACAACATGTACGAATGAAAGGACTTTTTCCAACTTGAGAAGTTGAAAACATATTTACGAAGTACTACTTCCAATTCTTAGCAAAATGGGTTAGCTCTGTTAAATATCCACAGAGATTTGGTTCCAATGACAAACGAAATTCTTGATGAATTGGTAACATTCCCACGAAAATTAAAAATCACATTATAATTATAGTATTTAATAAAAAGTTTTGTATAATATTTTATTTGATAAGAAGTTAAAAAAAAAATTGTTTTTTAAATTATTTCTAGTCAATATTTTATACACACTACTATTAGTATTTTCAATAAAAAAATTATATTCTACTTATATTGTATGAGAATTTAAGCTGAGGCTAGTTTTTAAAGCAAATTTCTTTAAAAAAAATGACATTAAAATTATTTTCAACTTAACATTTAAAAAAACTTTATTAAATATAATATACCTAACTTAAAATAATAAAAAAATAGGCTTGTAATATCCATAAGCACGAATTAGTAAAGAATAGTTAAAAATAGAAATTTAATTATTATTAAATTATGAATAATAATTTTTTTTGTTTTACCGGAAATACAAAGACACTGAACATATTTTTTTAATAGTTTTTGCATTTTCTGAAGGAGAATTTTTAAGGCTACAAAATGATATATAATTTGTTAAACAAAAATAATTTGAGTAATTGATATTCGTTAAAAGAGGAAAAGGCTTTCAACGAACTTTGAAGATCCATAACTTGAGCTAGAGCATTAAATTTTTGATTTGTAAAAAATATACAATCTAGATCCATTTTTTGGTTTTTTTAATTTTATTTAAATTTTTATTATTTTTATAAATAAAAAATTTAATATAGATGGCGCTAAGCTTGACAAAATATTAGTAATAAAATTTGGTATATATTATTACATTGGGGATTTATTCCTGTTTAACCCAGCAAATTTTCAATCTACTGGACTATTTTGAAGCCTGAGCCCAGAATTAAATCTATTTTTCAGCTCTGACCCTAAATTTTTATAATATATTGGTCCAAACAATCTTTTTAAAGATTTTATCAGCTTATTCATTTTTTATTTCTTACTTTCTATTATATTTTTAAAGTGATTGTTGTAATATTCAAATAAGAAAAATGAATAAAAAAGATTTATTATTCAGATTAAATAAAGTTCAAGATTTTAAGTTTGTTGTTTAAACACTATGTAAATGAATAGTATAGAAAAGTATATATAATCGGGAATATTTTACTTGCATGATGATTATAATTTTTACTTTTACATATAATTTTTAATTTTTACTTTTATTTTTATATATTAATTTTATTTTTCTTTTATTTTGATTATGTTTTTCACTTTGTAATTGATTATAGTTATTTATTTAATAAAGATTAATAATCATATTTAGTATATATTTTTTTTATATTTAGGTTCTTAAGTTCACAATCCAAAAACTCCCAACTTTGACAATGATGTTGGAGAGAAGAGGCGCCAGGGCGATTACAAAAATTCAGTCTAATTAACTCTGAAAAAGAAATTCTAAATAAAGGGGGAAGGGGATGTATGAAATGACTATCGACCAGGACAAAGAATGAGTGCAATAAAAAAATGGTATCAATATTAAAGGTAGTAATTCGGAAAAGAATAGAATTAGTCGTTTAGCTAAAAAGAATTCGTCACAAGAGATAGGTATAGGTACAAGTAATCGTTTTATATAATACTAGGTTGTGGATTAACCATCTTCATAAAGAGAAACGGCTTTTCGTCATTAGAAATTTTATTGACAAGCGACTAGGTAGAACAAGTGGTCAATACCAGAATGCAATCGTTAATCGTTCACAAATTATCGCCAATTGCTTATCAAAACTTTATTATAAGATAAAAAATCGATGATCTAAGAAACAAGAATTCGTGAAAAATGGCAGATCAAGCATCGTACATCGTTGATCGAGATAAAGCAATGATCATTAGTTACAAGAGAACGTTAGAAACAAGCAAAAGACCAAGTTAATTTATCAGGAGAATTTAAGACGTAGTATCGATAATCGTTGATTAGAAGTCGTGTATCGTTTAAAGGTATGCGTTAATCAAGTTGTCAGTGCTAAGAGCTCATCAATAACAGACTAAGACAAGAAACAGAATTATCGGTGATGTAAGTGAGCGAAGGAAATAAAATAGTAATGAGATACATGCACGAATATTGATATTTCGCAAAATGTAGGTCTAATCTAAGTGGAAGGGTGTTGTAATATTCAAATAAGAAAAATGAATAAAAAGATTTATTATTCAGATTAAATAAGGTTCAGGATTTTAAGTTTGTTATTTAACACTATGTAAATGAATAGTATAGAAAAGTATATATAATCGGGAATATTTTACTTGTATGATGATTATAATTATTATTTTGCAAACTTAATTTTTAATTTTAATTTATATTAATTTTATTTTTTTTTATTTTGATTATGTTTTCACTTTATATTTAAGTATTTAATAAAGATTTAATTATATGTTCTAACTTTTCATTATTTGACAACGGTTCTAATCTCCCAACAAATGAAATCTCTATGCAATGATCCATTGTTTAGAAAGGTCAAAAATATCCAGAAAAGGTAAGTTTAATGAATTGAAACCTTTTAAATTTTAGGTCGGGATTTTTACTTAATATAATATTTTATTGGATATCCTCATTTTATTAAATATATAAAACTAGGTGCCGCCAAGCATGATTAAAAAATCCAAAGGTCTATTACAATAGGTTAATCATTACATTACTCATGTTGCTTACATTTGATAAATATATAATCCATTGAGGATATATCTGAAGAGCCCAACCAGTTCAACTTTGGATATAATCAATATAGTACAATAAAAAACATAAATTTTTTACAAATTATGTTAACATGAATCTGGTTTTGACATAGCAACTGAATGGTATTTTTCAGCTAAATTCCATTGAAACATTTAAAAGATTGGCAGCACCTTCAAGCCTTCGGCGCACCAGTTCAGGGTACATTTTAACACCAGTTGATTTATATCAGTTTGCAAAACATGCCGCCAGTAAATTTTAGATATATAACCAATGAACAATACAATTTAGAAGAGATTAGAATGATTCAATTTAGTTTGCCTCATTCCAGGAACTCAGAAAATACACTCTATCTCCTTTGAGTTTAAGTAAACTAAAATCAAAAATATATTCATATGCAGAGGATTTTAACAAATCTCAAATGCCTATAATTTGCTTTTTGTTGATATCAAAGGATTCATAACATATATTTATGGTATGGTGGTTAGCCATGGTACTAAAAAAAATGAAATTAATGAGGAGATATATATTTCTTATATGCCCATGGAACATTGCCATCCTTCTTTTACCCCACAATGGAGGAAAATGATAGAATGTACCTACAAATTATTGCCTCAGGAACTTAATAGCACAACTGGAATACGATTAAAACAAGAAGTATTTTTATAATAGTTTGTATATAAATATGTTTTAAGTTATAATCCTGATATTAAACCTATCCATATGGGCTACCTGCTTACATATATCCCAGGACATGGCCTATGACACCATATTGATTATACTCTATAGATTTTTTATTTTAATACCAATACAATACATATTTTTATTAAATAACTTTTATTATAATGATTGTTAATATAATGCCTGTGTTGTTCTCTCATCTGTAAACAAAATTTTCAAACTTAGGTAATTTTATTTTGAAAAAAATCTGAATTCATCATTTTCAAAAATCAGCTATAATAGAATGTGGCTCATATGTTTAAGCCTTTTTCTTGTTATAAAACAAAAAATAATACCAAATTTAGCTATATTATCTTTCAAAATAATTAGATTTTTTAAAAATATTAAAAATAAATTAAATTTTGGTTCCCTATATTAATATTTTATTATGTATAAAATAAAAAATATTATATATTTATATATCAAAGGCATATATATAATTTTTCAATAGAGGAGAGGGGGGTCACTACTGCTATAAATTTTAATGGAGTTTAGGTCCACTTATTGTAGGCCTTTGGCTATATATTTTTATAAAAATAATTTAGGGGTTTCACATATTTTCTTAAGAAAATGCTTTTTCCTAAAAATTTTATATTTAGTTATTATTTTAAAAAATTATTTTCATTAATTATTTTTTAATCTTTTAGTGATATATTTCATTAAATTTTTAGGGATGGGGTGAGGGGGGGGGGGGGGTTGTAGGGAGAAAATCTTTATTAGCAAAAAATAAAATTTAAGAAAAAATGCAAATTTGGGTGGGGGATCTAACCCCTCTTTATTACATGCTTGATATATAATAACAAAATAACCAAAAACATAATAAGTCTAGGCCCAGTCCTGTATTTTCCAATATAAAATATCCCCTGATCTGATATTTAATATCAGCACAGTCCTACTTAATTATATTCTCCTTTTGTAACTATATAATTATTACAAATATTAAGGCATAACTTACATCAGGGTGAAATGTCATATTAATTATAAATAAATCATGAGATTTCATGGTGATTTGTGCTATTTCATTTAAATTGTATAATTTTTTATCCTTTTCAATAGATATTTCATTAAGCATTCCTGTAAGAAAATAAAAGTTTCATCAATATCATATTTATTACCTGCAGAATGCTGAAGTGTAATTTGTAATTTAAACCTTTTGTGCAATGCTTCAACAATTAAATTCATATCATGCTTTAATTTTTCTAAGTCAAAAATGTCAGAAATTAAATTTTCATTTAAAATTGATCTCATCTTTCTCTTATAATCTAAAAAAAATTAAAAAATTATTATATTATTAACTTCTACTAGAAGCATAATAACGAAAAAAAGGAGTATTTGGATTATATATAGAGCATACGAATTTAAAATAAGAATATTTCGTTGATATACAAAAAAAATTTAAATAGGATTTGATGTGATGTGGTCTAAGCATAATTTTAAAAAAAATATAACATGAAACGTTCACTTGTCAAAGTCAAAATAGTATTATTCGTGATATGATATGATAATCATAGGTCAGGGGCGTCGCTAGCCTTTACAACCTCAGGGCATTGGCGTACGCAGCGGGGAGCTAAAATGTGCTGATGACGGATATATTTTTCAAAAATATTATTGTTTATATTAATTTATATTTGTTAATATTTATTCGTATCTCATATTAAATATATATTTAATTACTCACATTTATCTACTGTTATTTTATCAATTAATTTCGATTTCAAGTTTTCCGGTGTAATATTTACTTATTATTTTCAAATTTATAGTGGCGTAATATTTATTACCATTTTCAAATTTCTAGTCAAATAATAATTATTTCTGAAACTTTTTGTCCAACAGGGAAAAAGAAATTGCAACCTTGTCCAACATGAAGGAGTCTCTGCCATCAAGCAGTAACAGTTTTAAGGAGTTAGAAGAGCTAATTATTTGCTATTACTGAAATATCACAATGGCCTGAAAGAAATATTTCCTCAGAGCAATGATATATATAACTAGATTGGCGATCATGCTAAAGAACGTCCACACATTGAAATCAGCCGTAGCGACATTTTGTAGCTTGTACGTTGATCAAATATTCAATAGCTTTTCAAAATATAAACAATGGAAAGAAAAATCTTTATTTGATTATCCTTTTTATGGTTTTAGTAAACACGATATGATCATGTGAAATAAATTGAAGACGTTTGGATTTAAATGATTTTAATTGATAGATTATAAAGTTTTCAAATCAGATGGACAAAATCACATTGTAAAATGCCAAAAATCGCGATAACAGATAACACAGATTATGAGACTATCCTTTTGAATAAAAAGATTATAACCCCAGAAGATGTGATGAAAATAAGGATGCCTACAAGAAAAAATAAGGATATTAATCGATATCAAAATGGACGGGCACTAACCTTCTAAAAAGAATACCTCAAATATTATAACCATTAATGTTGTTAAACAGGCCAAAATTGTTTGAAACCTTTCCCCCATCCGATTTCAATACCTATTTCAATTAGCAGTTGATTTTTTTTTAGTCTTCTCAAAATGGGTATATTTTGATTTTATTTTTCCATTAGCTGTTTCAACAAAATGCTGTATTAACCTCTCTCTGAAAAGTACTAATACTATATATTACAAATTAAGAAATATGTAGCCAGTAATTTGTCTTCCTTGTTATATTCTAGTAACTTAAAATGGTTTTACCTTTATGTATTTTATTGTTACCATAACATAAAATCAGAGTTGTTAAAAGATCGAATCAAAAGATCGACGATCCTGGATTCGATCGCAAATTTGTCAATTTTACGAGATTTATGATTCTGACTTAAATTAAGGATCGAGATCGAGATCATTTTGTTTAAAATTCGATCCCGATCTTTTTAAAAATTAATTTTTTACTTAAAAAGCAATAAATAAAATAAAAATTTTGAAAATTATTAAAATATTATTTTTAAAAAAAATATCTATCTTTATATTTTATCAACTTCCATTCCACCATTTATTTTATAGATAAATTTATTCATTTCCTAAATTTTACGAGATTTAGAGCTATTACAAGTTATTTAATATAAATTTATAATAATATATTAATATTTATTTTAATAAGTATATGTAAATGGATTTAGAAGATTCTATTGCTTCTACTATTGATGTAACAACAGATATATGTGAGAATGAGAATCTTTTACCATTTTTGAAATTACGTAAGTATTTTACTTTATGTGAAATGGATGAAAGCAACTCTTATAATATGATCAGCACCAAATGCCGTCTCTGTAAGAAGATAATATCATCTTCCAAAATATCATCCTTTCTTTTAAAATTTTTTTTATTTGATAATCTTAATGTCAACATGTTTAAATTTAATTTATTACATTCCTTGAGTTGAGCAGGTCCTTCAGAAATAGAATCTAGATACAGATTCTTTATAAAAAAAAATGAATTATTAGATACGTTAAAATATAATTAACATATTACAAATATATGAAATTTTTAATACTTTTATCTGTAATCTGCCTACACTGTGATTTTATTTTAAAATGGTTTAGTCTCAATATACTTTATTGTTTTTGTCCAGATCCTAAATTGGTTTTAGTAGATTTTTCTGTTTATAGTAGATTTAACCAACATATAACAAAAATATTTAGCTACTTGATACTTTTAATGGTTTTAAAGTGGGCTTAAATTTCATATATAGTAAATACTTTGTTAAAAGTATGTTTTAAACTTCATTAAATAAGTACATTGGATTAGTATATATTATAACATTTAAATGTTTTAGCTTTAAATTTGTTTAATTTAGTAGATTTTAGAGATTTTATTAGTTCTTAAACTATAATTGATGTTTGACTTCTCAATATAGATATAAATTACATTTTATAAATATTAATCTAAATTAGTCAAAGTTTTTGACTTTTCTATATTACATTATATACATATTAGAAAAATTAGACATTTTATTTTATGTTTTACATTAATTATGTTGTAGCTCTTTGCTTTCATATATCTTATTTAGTTCTTATTTTCACAAAAGAGTTTATCTTATTGTATGATAACATTATTTATGATTCGACTTTTCTGAATTAAATATCTTTTTCGTCCTATGAGTATATTAATTAAAATTGGATCAGTTTAAATTTGATATTTTATAAGTTTTTGAAAGTTTTTTTCTCTAGTTTTGTAAGTTTTTAGCTCAATTAGTTAAAATTAACTCAATTTTTGGAATTCTATAGTTTTAAATATTTCTTACTTCATATAACATATTTAATTCATTTTTAGAATTTTATTGCTTAAAACTTTTTGAGCTTGACTAACAAACATATTAATGTTAGCACATTGTAACATTATTTTACATTTTATTTAGATTTATTAGATTAACGAAATATATATTACATTATACTTTATTATTTATATATATATATATTCATAGTACATATTATGTATATATTCCTTAGTATACATATTTTAGGTTGGTTTCTAACTGTCCATTAGATTTTATATAAATATAAATCACAAACACAACGCTAACATTTTGTTATGTATATATTATTTTATATTACATATATTAGACTATATTTATATATATATATTTGTTTGGACTTTGAATATCGTATATATTTTATATTATATATGTTAGTTTAACGCTTAATTTTTATTTCCCTTTTCTCTCACTCGCTAATATTTTTATGACTTCCTCCCAAATATGTTTCTATTTTACTTATTCTGTCTATTTATTAATTTTATTTATGTTTTTCTTTTAATTCAAACGACTTTTTCAAGAAAATATCATTTTTCTCGCAAGGTCTAAAAGTCGAAAGGCTTGGTAATACGAAAGGCTAAAAAATAATATTGAAAATAAAAATAACAAAGAAAATGATTAATGAGATATTTGATTGATTTATTGCTTTTTTTAGATAAAAAATATTATAATAACATTACATTATAATATATTAAAAATATGGAAATTTTAAGATCTTTTCAATTTTTTTATTAATACTTTGAAATAATTTACGGTTTTTAAAAATTAATTTTATCATATTAATTTTATCATATTAATTTTTAAATTAATATTTTTAATTAAATTAATATTTGGTTATGATTTTATATATTAAGTAAGTATAAATATATTGTAATTATTTAATAAAGAAGTAAATGAGAAACATAAATTTTTTAAGGTATTTTTAATTTGAGAAAGCATTTAAGAGGGGAAAGGCTAAAATCTTAAACGTAATTTTGAATATAATTATATTGAACTCAGAATTTAATTCTCTATCCAAAACCGCTTAGATGTATTTTTTTACGTTTCCGGTTCACAAAAAAAAATTTATGTCGCGAAAGCATTTTAATGGGGAAAGGCTAACATCTTAAACGTAATTTTGAATATAATTATATCATTGAACTCAGAATTCAATTCTCTATCCAAAACCGGTTAGATATATATTTTTACGTTTCCGGCTCACAAAATAATTTTTTTGTCGCGAAAGCATTTAACGGGGAAAGGCTAACATCTTAAACGAATATAATTATATCATTGAACTCAGAATTTAATTCTCTATCCTAAACCGCTTAGATGTTTTTTTTTACGTTTTCGGTTCACAAAATAATTTTTATGTCGTAAAATCATTTTAACTGGGAGACTAACATCTTAAACGTAATTTTAAATATAATTATATCATTGAACTCAGAATTTAATTCTCTATCCAAAACCGCTTAGTTGTATATTTTTACGTTTCCGGCTCACAAAATAGGTGGTAATAAAAAAAATTCACGCCCACTCACGCTTACCACTAAAAAATTTTTGACCCGACCCGCCCGCTCACGACAGGCAATATTTTGATTCACGCACGTCACGCCCGAAAATTCATGGGGTTTTTAAATTTTTCAAAATTGGTAACCTATCAATATACACTTTTTTGAATTTATTCTATTTATTTCTATAATTCCATAACAAAAAATAATACAATTTATAAATCGAAATTTTTATTTAAAAAAAAAATAATATCCATGTTTTTTGATTTTAATTGAGTACGCCTTTTTTCCAACAAGCGATTGGCTACAGAAAACAATCTTTCACTAGATGCCGAACTTGCAGGGGCGGATAAAATTTTACTCGTTAATTTTTTCAAAAAAGGAAACGAATTTTCATGCTTCCAAAACTTCAAAATAATATCATTATTATTTGTCTTCTGAGCGATGAATCTTTTAAGTATCCTTGCAGCTTTCTTCGATAGATGGTGAGGGTTCATCAGTATCATCTAGAAATTCTCTAAATGTTTCATTTAGAATATTAGATTTCTTGTGAGTGTAGGACGAATTATGACAGCTAATAGTTGGCTTTGGCATTGACTTATTCATATCATATTTTATGACATTTAGCATTTTTATGGTAGTTTTATATATATTGTTTTTTTTCTGATAAAAACTTAAGGCTTTTGAAATTGGG